AACAATAAGAACTCGTAGTCTCTCTAGCTATTAAATGACAAATCATATGGCTTGAAATCTAATGGCCGGTGATTGTGACCTTGTTGCCAATAATATGGATATATGATGGTAAAAAAAATAAAAAATAAAAAAAACTCATAGTGAGGGTGGCAATGGACCGGATAGACCCGGGACCCAATGGGATAGACTCGGCACCCAACAAATACGGGCATGGGTCCAACATTTGGACCCGATGGATCAAGTACGGGTCCAAAACATTTTCCCGAATACTATTTAAGTCTGCGTCCGGGTCCAACCGGACCCAACCCATTGCCATCCCTACAAATCACTTTATAAACCATGAAATTCGATCTCCAAAAGCAATGCAGATCTTACGACCTTTGAAAGATTAAAATGGACGGTAAAAAAAGGAAAGTATAAAATAGACTAATTTTAAAGCTCTAAGTGCTTGATTATTTTTTAAATAGGATTGTCTACAGATATACCGTTTATCTTTATTATAAGGAGGTTATAATATTTTCACTTATTTGATATCAAATTGGATGGTTTGGAGTGATTTACAAAGTTTGAGAATTTTCTTTTAGAATTATGGCTATTCAATGAATACTCTTACACCACCGATTTTGAAATTTAAATGACTATAATGATTGTGACTTTATTATACCAAAAGCAAATGGTTACTTTGTAGGCAATCCTTTAAATTTCTTGGAATGCATCCAAAGCCTACAATTTTTTTTAAAATATATATATTATTAAAGGGCTTAAATTATGTTACAAAATAATAAGAAAGGGTCAAAAGATCTTATTTACCAATACGTGGTTCACTTTATAAATTTTACTTAATAAAACTAACTCCCCCAAAATTTGGTAAGAAATCCATAACTATCCTACTCATTGTTTGGAACTCTTAACAATAGGGGGACATTTTGGCAAACTAGATTCACTTAAGTGGCTCAAGCCAAATTACTATAAAACCCTCATTGTTGAGGGCTACTATCAAGTGTTTTCAATAAAAAAAATGTGTTTTATATTGTTAACTCCGAACAATTGGGGGTATTATCACAATTTGGCGTGGTTCAATTATGTAGAGCCAAACTATTGAACTAACCCTAATTGTTCAAAGTTCAAAATTGTGGATAGGGATAATTAGGAAATTATGAAAGAATTTTCTGAGCAGATTCATTTCTGAAATCAAAGCCAAAAAGGGAGTCCTATAACAATATATGAGATCAATGTCTTAAATCCCTGATTGGCCATGTGAATCAATCATCCAATAAATCGGTCCAGATTGGTGAATTGCCAATCCAAATTGGTGATCCAGCTAATTACCTAGTGTGAGTATCAATCGATAAAAAATCAAATTAAATTAATAAAAAATATAAACTTGGGAACCGGGCAATTAGGCCAATCCAAATCACTCAGTTCTCTGATTGGATCGCCCAGTTCCTTTAGGGAACCAAGTGAGTCAGGCTGAACCAGACCTACTTTAGGTTTCAGCGTTTCAAAACGCAACTCAGTGGGATGACGCAACTCAGTGGGATGGATTGTTCAACCCATAAATTCGTGTGGGATTGTTAGATTGTCCATCCGGATCTATTTAGATCAATCCAAATCGGTGATCCAGAAAAGTGTTAAACAAAATAAAATCAAAATCAAAATAAGGACTTGTAGGATGGGGATTTAGGGGGACTTGAGGAAACATTAGACGAGCTTAAAAGAAACATAAAAATAAAAATAAAAGTGAGTGGTTTTTTGGAGGTGGGGCGGGGGAAACCAAGCCAAGGCCCATACCATCCCATAATCAATTATTTCCATTCGAATCGATAATCCCAATTGGGAATCTCCGGGTTTTAAAACAATGCGCGGTTTTGAGTGGAAACTGGTTCATCCAAGACTGATTCCCAATTTAGATCAGCATGTTTTTAAACACTAAATAAGATATTTGAGTCATTTAATAAAAATTTTAGGCCCTTTGAGGATGTTTTCCCTCATTTAAATTTTGGTATCATTTATTATAAAAAAAGCTAAAAGTTGACCCAAAAAGACATAGTTAAAAGTAATTAAAAAAGATACATAAACTTATGCCGTCACTAAAGGTATCATCCTTATTAGAGCGAAATAACGAACCCTAAAAAGATTCATCCACGATTACCCTAAAAGTATCTATATATGGCACTAGCTCTGATAGAGAAACCATCCAGGTGCCTATGCTTTTTGCAAAGCTGTATACAAATGGAATGGCTTTTTGGTGATTGTTATATTGTCACAAGTTCTTGGATATCATTATACAATTAGGTAAACTAATGTTAAATTTTATCCCATGGTATCTTTTTCTATAAAATTCAAGGGCACAATGAACTCCATTTAGTATGTTGTCGGCCACATTGGAGGTGGCACCACCTGTCTATCTCTCTCTCTACCACCTTTGTCTGTCACCTCTATCTCTCTCTACTATCTTTCTCTCTCTCTCAATATAATCATTCCCAGAGTGAATCTCCGAAAATTCTTTAAATTCCAACGTCCTCAAACAATTTGCAGCAAATAAAGCAAACATATGGTCCTCTCAAGCTTTTGTGCTCCCCCTCTTTCTAAACAAGTTTTCTTTTGTGGGTGACTCTCTCTCTCAATAATTTTTAGATTCGAACTCCCCCTGCACAATGTAAAGCAAGCAAAGCAAACATAATTTTTTTTTTTTTTAGGCTTTTACTCTCTCTCTCTCTCTCTCTCTCAAATAAGACATAGAAGTAGTAGGAGAAGTAGTACGTTAACGTACGTAACGTACTCTCTCTCTCTCTCTCTCTCTCTCTCTCTCTCTCTCTCTCTCAATGAAAATTGAACTCTCTCTCTCCACTGAAGGAAAATTGAAATTCGTGTATATTGTGCTCTCTAGGGAGCATACTATACATGTATTCCCTCAAAAGAACACTTTAAGGGAGATTTTTTTCTTACTTTTTTTTTTTTGGAAATTTCAGGATTGATCTAATTAAATCTACATAATTATTTTCAAAGAAAATTTTGGATTTTAAGTTCTTGAACATCTATAAATCATTCCCTCCAAAAATTGAACAGTTCCATTGTAATTTTGGGATGTTTTTTTTTTTAAGGTACATAGAGAGTGAGAATTAAATGTTTTTTCCTTTTAGGCTGGTTGCCTTTCTAGAGATTATTACTTCCCCAAAATTTAAGATCTAAAAGAGACCATTTATCTTTTGTAAATAGAGGTCACAATCATTTGTCCCTTAAATTTCAACATGGGTGATTGTAATAGTGTCATTGAATAGACACAAATATCCAAAAAAAAATTTCTCGGACTTTGTAACTCATCCCAACCCATCTAATTTAACATCTAATGAGTGTGAATGACTGTGAACTCCATGTACAAACACTAAATGGTTTCTTTATAGACGATCTAATAGTACACTCCCATAACAATAGGAAATCTTTTGGCCAAAAAAATATATGCATATACAAATAACATGTACTCTCACTCTCATGACGTTTTTTCAATAGATTAGGGAGTTACATTTTAAAAGTGTTAATTGAGAGTGTCATTGTATGAATGGATTAAGCGATAAGATAACTGAAAATAGGGATGCTACCACCACAACCTCAGGCCTTTCCTAATTTTTTGTGCTCATTGATAGACTAATAATGCAGTACTTGTGTCACTTAAAATCCCACTACACTGGTATACAAATGTGTCGTGTCGAATGACCAATTTTAAATTTAGCATATCTAACGTTGTCCATATCAAACACTATCAATGCATCCATGCCATGTAACATGGTCATATAATTATTGAAAATCAGTGGTAACAAATGCCTTAACCATTCATAGTTTTAGGCGTCTTGACCTCACCAATGGGATCATTGTGGACCCCATTCTTTGTTAATGGAGGGTGGGACGCTATGTTTGAGGCATCCTCTCCCCTAATCACCGATTCTCATTCTGTCATCCCATTCTTTTCATCATTACCCATCCATTGGTTCCAGACATACTTTTTAACATTCACATTAAAATTCAGGATTTAGGAAAAGAGGTAGGGTTTAATTGGTTAGTGCTTCACAACTTGCAACGCTGTCTTCAGCTCAATTCCTACCAAGGTAGGGGCTCTCTCCCCACTGACTCAGCAAAAAAAAAAATCAGGATTTAAGACATTCATATAGTTCTAGTTTAGAGTAAGTTTCCCAATTATTAAAAAAAGTAAGCATCGTTAAAATGGACAAACCACCTCAAAAACCTATAGGTAAAAATCACCAATTTTACCAACTAAGTGGCCACTTTTGAAGACCTTTGCATGCAGGTAAATCTTCAAGAATTTGCAAAAATATATAAATTGTTTTATTACCGAGTGAACAAAGGCACCTTAGTAATTTAACTTATTTAAGGCAAATGACTTAGAAACCCCTACTTGTTCTAAATCTCACAGATACAAAGCATGTTTCTTTCACTACAAAATCTTGTTTGAAGTTTGGAGCCTAACACAATTAGGGCAAGGCCCATTTAAGCCACCTGAGCCTAAGTCATAAATAACAAGGCAAACCCCACTTGTATTGCGTTTCAAACCAAAAATAAGTTTCCTTAATGAAAAACCATATTCTGAGATCTGTATCTATTTGTTCAAATAACTTAAGCAGCAGCATTTAGGCCACTTGGTTCAAATAAGTTAAAGTGGCAAATTTACAAAAATGCCGTCACTTGGCTCTAGTTCAGTCATTTTTAAAAAAATAGACAAACAAGTAACCAGCTGAAATGATTTTTACCGCGACCATAAATTAATTGATTTAACCACCTTGTTGATAATTTGTAGGTGGCTTGACCATTTTATTGATAGTTTCTGAAAATATTATGATGTTGCAGCAATAACTACCACAGAAATAGAAAATTAAAAAGAAAAAAAGAACTCAAAGAAATAAAAAGAAAACATCATATAGTTAAATTTAAAGTATGTTTCTCACGAGGCAAGGACGACTCTTGATGTCGCAGAAAACACGTACATCAAAATTAAAAAAGAAAAAACAAATACATTCAACTAATGCTAAGTTTCAATACATTTCAGCTTCAAGCAATAACATTGTGCTGTCCTCACAATGTTAAGAAATTAATAATGGAAAAGAAATCATATGGCCTCTCCATAGAATAACAAAAAGGAGAGAGAGAGAGAGAGAGAGAGAGAAGAGAACTCAAAAGTTAAGGCCGAAGGAATCATAAGGCTTATTTAAAGTCAGGCTTATCTGGGTAAGTGCAGCCAGACCTTTGGATGATTTCATTTGCGGCGTAACACCCGGCTCTGACACAATCTTCAATAGGCTTCTCTTGAACCAACTGTGAGAGAAATCCTCCAACAAATGCATCACCTAGAGAGAAAAAGAGAGAGATATTCAGTAACAGTTAACACTATCTTTCTGCTAATAAGATAAAATATGAGAATGATTGAAGTCTCTCACTCACACACTCACATAAAAATGATGACAGTGGTTTACTGATAATGGCTCTCTCTCTCTCTCTCTCTCTCTCTCTCACACACACACACACATACAGTGGTCAACTGGTTATGGTTCTCTCTCATGAGAGACAAAATAAACAACACCCACCTGCACCATTGGTGTCGACAAGCTTCTCTTTGGGTAGAAGAATGACTGGGAACAATTTTATCTGCAAAAACAACAACATCGTGATTCACAAAGTTCGGAAGCAATTAATCGAAGGTAAATAGAACCAGAAATACATAGAAAAAATGGAGGACAACAAAGAAGATAAGTCTAGTTTCATGTAAAAAACACCATAATTCAATGGGCTAGCCTCCAACGCTTTACCCAGCACTCGTTCCCACTGATAGATAGCAGGACCACAGGAGATCAACTATAACCATGTGAATGTCCCAAGGGCACCACGGCCACCACCCCAGTTAATCCCCAACCATCATCTGCGATAACAAATGGTCGATGTATCTCTTGGAGTACCATATACCAAGTCCAATCCCAATATCCCATTGAACACAACAAATAAGTACCTTTCCATCCTCTGCGACAACCACTGGATCAGCACCTTGGGTGATAACTGCAATTCTTTTGTGAGTTCCCGATGCCTTGGGCAAGGCCGAAAGCTTCAAAGCTATCTCTTCGACATCATCAGTCTATGAAAGAAGCAATAAAAACATTAATGAACAAGAATTAAAGGTAAAAATAATAAATATAATATGCACCAAATGGTGTATGGGATATGGTACACCTAGGGGCATCTACTATTGTTCTTATGATGATCATTGGAGAGTAATTGGTGATGCAAATAATGGGACCTGATCACTGAGAATAAAAGAACGCGGCAAATTTTTGGGGAGAGAGAAGAGAAGGAAACAGATTTAACCAAACTTCACAAGAAATGATTGGTCTTTTGGGGAAAAAACAAATCTTTTTTCTCGTAAAAAGTTAAGTAGAGAAAAAAGCTTTCCTCATTTTTTATTTTTTCTTTCTACTCGGTGGAGTAAAGTTCCGGAGGCTCACTTGACAGCTCAAATAAATAAAAAACAATTTGCTAAAATCAAATGAATAAATCATTTAAAGCAAAGGGTTCTTACAAAGGTTGGGAGGGTGAAGTAAGATTGGAGTGACAAATTATTGCAATAGCTTCGTGCAATATTTCACAAAATTCCTTAACTCAAAAAGGAACTAGGCAATTCTGGTCCATGGGACCCCAACCCAAAATGGCCCCTGAGATTGAGAATTTGGGGGAAGAGAGCACCAAATTCAAGTTTCAATAGTGCGTTCTGATAACCATTTACACAATCTCCAAGAGAACGGCATTTCTACTTCTGGCTCTTCAGTACTATTCAGCTGCAAAGACAGACATGAGGATCGCATCGCTAAGGCCCTCCTTAGAGTCTGCTCTTGTTTTTCCTTTTTGTTTTTTGGACTTAGGGATTTGGGTGTTGAATTTTGTATGTTAATTCTGTGGATTGTTCATCATTTCTCTAGTATATCCTTATTTTGTTAAGAGGTTACTGATCTTTGGGTTTTATCTCTTTGAAGCAATGAGCTATTATGCTGCAAACAAGATATAGGTATAATCTGAATTATTTGACTTGGTGGCCTCCGTAAGTTGTTATTGTTGTATGGTTTTCTCTACTCTTTGTTTGAGGTATGCTTGGAAACATCTGACTCCTGGTTTTGCGTAATTTTGTTACATGATTTGCTCAGGAGTAGTGGTTGCTTTAATTAATATTTGATCCCATATTGGAGACTTCTCTTGGACGAAAAAACAAGGTGGAAGTGCTTCAATATATGAACTTCTTGACTATATTTTTTATTTGTTGGAAGTTTGGAACCCTTTCCCGAATCTTTCATTTCGAAAATTCCCAATTTGATTCCTTTTATAATAAATCCCCATTTGATTTCTGGAACAGAACCCCATCTTGGAAAAAAAATAAAAAATGTATAAGGCGAGATAACTTGAGATGGGTGGACAGATGTGGGATATCGATATGATCAAGGCCTGGAACCATTTAAATTTTTTCCAAACACACATACCTCTTTCAGGTTGATAGAGACATCTTGTGGATATTGGAAATAGAAACTGTGGTTGTCATTTTTGAGACTGTTACCCAAAAACTGGCATCTGTGGATCCAAGTTCTTATTGAATAGAATTCATATATTTTCAGCGATATTCATTCCAAAGATCTCTTAAGGAAAATTTGCCTCAAACTCAATAAGTAATGGAAGATAATATGGGGGGTGAGTCTCTTTGAGGTGCTGCCTATTCTTATTATAGGAAATCAAATTAGCTTTGGATCAGGAAAGTTCCTTTTGGATGCAAAAATCAAGATCCAAATGAATCAAATAGGAGGCTGGAATTCAAAAACAATTCCTTTCTAAAACCATGTCTATATCACGCTCAACCAAAATCTTCTCTCAAGATAGGTGGTGGAGCCAAAACAAAATATATGCAGAAGACAGATTTTTCCTTCTTTATTTGAAAGTATACTATGAATATGGGAAATCATAATCCATTCAGGCATCATAGTGCATTGAAAAGGATGATGATGGAGAGTGATGACCCATAGTCTTAAGGTTTCCCACTAATATATCACGTTACAGTATACCATTCTGAAAACCAAAATCAGCTTATATCGAAGTTCAATAATTGCAGACATGGGCCTTACCTCCCAACCCTGAACCCGTGAAAATGTCCTCGCTTCAGTCTCGTTTCCAAAGATGTAATCCATGTACCTATTAAAGATTTTCCACATTAATTTTTTAAGATAACAGCATATAAGCACAAGAAAATTGAACCATTGGATGCATAGAGAGGTAAAATGTAAGTAGATGAAGCTCACGGAAAAACTTTCTCGAGGTGATCCTTGAAGAATTCAGCGATAAAAGGAGCAGACAGGTTCATCATGAAAGTCTGCATAACAAAGAGACAAATGAGAATACATGGAAATCGCTTTTCTCAAAATAAGATACAACAGTATAATATATTGATAAATCCAATGGAAAACCATAATCCATTTGGGTCATCACCATTCCAATGAAATGATGGCTATGATGGAAAGAGAGTGGGTCCCTCCATTGGGTGAAGTACTGTTCTGGTGGATCCTACTCTCCCTCCATGACCAGCCCACGTTCCATTTGATGGTGAAATCCCAATAGATTATGGCTTTCCATGGTCCACAGGGCTAGAGCATACTTTTCCCAAGGATAATATATAGATAGTTGTAACAATGCAAAAACAACACAGATATATATCCCAAAAATAAAAAAGGCACCTTTTGATTTGCAGCCGCATGCTCAGCTACAAGCAAAATGGACTCCAAAGACACCGTAAGGAAGAAACCAGCAATATAGAAATATTTAGCCTTTTCAACTGCGGAAGAGAGAGAGAGAGAGAGACAGAGAGAGATGGGTGAAAACAATAATCAAATAAATCATAAATTGATGCTTGCAACTGCCAAATCAATGGGCAACTTACCCAATGCCCAATTTTCCGGTCTTTTAAGGTGGTCAGATTTGTAGAAGTTTGCAGCCGATAAGTTAGCTACTAAGGACCTGTACATAGTTGACCAACATCAGATAAGCCATAGACAATTTGGAAGATAGATTCATGAGCGGCCTGAAATAACAAACTATCAAATGGAGGTGGCTATAAATCAGAGCATTGTGAAACATAACTTGTGGACAAAAACGAAGAGTCCACATCATAGGTTTGGAAAATTGGCTATAAATGCAATTACCAGAGTCAAGCAAGAAGAGTTTAAAGCTCTCCAATTGTCTTCCAGAAATAAAAAGGAAATTATACTATAACTCAATGCATTCAGGGAAAATGTGCCTCTTGGGATTATCACCATTTCAAGAATTAATGGATGATGATGGAGAGACAACGGGACCCACCATTGGAGTGTTCATCTTTTGGCCACACACACACACACAATAACTTGAAATGCCCACTTACATCTACAATAGTAGATGCCCAACGGTTCAAATCAGAAGGGAAGGAAATGGACGGCCACAATTGCATACAAACTTTGAATTTTATTTTTTTTAAATCCAATTGACTGGAAAAGTGGAGGGTCACACTCTTCTATCTTAGACACACCTAAAAAAAAATATAAAAAATAATACAAAAGATAAGTTGATCAAAATACCAATGAAAATGTTTCGAGTGTCATCATCATCATCATCATAGCTTTTTCCCAACTAACTAGGGTCGGCTGAAAATCCTTCGAGTGTATTTTGGTCAAATTATTTTTTTGAATAATTTTAAAAAAACAACCATACAAATAATTTTAAAAAAACATATAATTAGTAAATCCACCTTCACAACCCATGCTAACATTAACTTTTGTATTTTCAAGGGTTGTGATGACTCTTCAAAATACAAAAGTTAATGTTAGAATGGGTTGTGAAGAGTGGATTTACTATGTAGTTCCTTTTCTTAAAAAAAATTAACTTTTTGTAGCAGCTTGTTCATTCATTAAGGGTAAATATGTAACTATCACTAAAAGAAAATAAGTATCGCCATCATCTTTACAAGAGTAAAATTGAAATTTTTACTAAAGGCCAAAGTTATTCTACTAATAAAATTCCAAAACACTAACTTCCAAAATTCAATTGTACTTTTAAAACAAAAAAATTAAATCTACCCTTACTTAATGATTAGGTTACCTAAAAAAACAAATTTAACAAAAAAACGTAATGGATGTTTTATGAATACACGCATCATAACTCATTCTAACATTAATATTCATATTTTGAGGCTTGTTATATATATATATATATATATGTGTGTGGGTAGTGATTTCATCCAACGGTTGTATATAATATAATGCAACAATCTTCCAAAACTATGTTAGGGCCATTTATTTGGTAAAAATTTTAAGATAGACACTCTTTTCATTCTAACGAACAATCACAAAACAGAAAAATTTGAAAACGCAAATTAGAAAGTATTTGTTTGAGAAAATTTCTCCGTACACCCCATTTTTTACACCCATTTCTCAGGAGACCTAAGTATTCAAACTATTTGTTGAGGCATAAGGTCCCTATCTTTTCTATCCTCCAACCCCGTAGACCCCTTTGACCACATACTATTGACCTAAACAATTTGTGAAATGACTCCGTTTTACCAAGTTAACCTCTGTGTGTCTCTCTAAACTCCGTCTCTCTCTCTCTCTTTCGCACCTCTCTCTCTCTCTCAAACACCAACTTGTGGCTTGAAAGGTTGGCAACACTGAAACTGGTGCACTAGCTTGTAGACCAGAGAAAGCTTGCATCGATGGCTGAGAAACGGGTGCATTAGATTGAAGAGTCGGGTTTTGAAACGATGGAAGTGGTGGGTTCACTGGTCTTTGAGCCATGAAGCTTGATAGACCTTGAGGTGGAAGACCCAAAGGAACGAAAGGCATCTAAGATTGGAGGCGAAGGGGACTTGAAGGTTGAAATCACGGAGCAATCATGGTGGGCAGCCCAGGAGGGGCAAAAGCTTGAGCCATGGCTGGTCGACACGAGAATTTCCATGGAAAGAAGGCTTTGAACGCGTAGAAGATGGTGTAATAACAGGAGGAGGTCGATTGAGGCCTAAAACTAAAGAAAAGAAATGTGGGTTTTGTCCAAAGACCCCAGGTTGAGGATTTCCATAAAAAGAAGGCTCCGAAACAGTTGCAGAGGAAATCGGAATTGGAGGTGGAGCCATGATTGGAGGTCAACTGAGCACTGATTTGGAGAACAAATTGTAGGTTTTGCAGAGGGATGCCATTAAAGCTTGGAGGAGGAGGAGGAGCTCGATTGAGCAGAGGCTCTAATGAAGCAGGATTTGCATAAGAAATTGGAGGAGAAGAGAAGGGAAAGGCACGCCTTCCATGGAAATTTGATGTGAATCTAGGTTTCTGAATTCTCATACCCCATTGGAATGCAGAATTTAGCTCTCAAATCTTAAAAAAGGGAGAAGGGTTTCTGCAAGTGACTTTGGGTATTTAAAGAGAGAGAGAAAGAGAGAGAGAGAGAGAGAGAGAGGGAGTTCAAAGATGGATGGAGATGTTAATTTGGTAAATGGAAGTCATTTCACAAATTGTTTAGGTCAATAGTACATGGTCAAAGGGGTCCAGGGTATTAGAGGATAGAAAATATAGAGACTTCATGCCGCAAGAAATAGTTTAAATCCTTGGGTCTCCTAAGAAATGGGTCTTAAAAATGGGGGTTACGGAGAAATTTTCCCTATTTTTTTAGCCCAATTAATATAGGATGTTCATTTTGGTGAGAAGCTTAGATCTAGGTCTTAGAATGATCTTTTTTCTTTCCAAATTTTTTAGATCAATTTATTATCATTAGATGAACAATGTTAAAAAAAAAAAATTGATTTTGAAATCATAAAGGCCTAGATCTTAAAATTCACAAAATGAATTATCTAGATTTGTTGTTGGAGGGGACTCATTTTAATCATATTTATGGTTCAAATTGAACTTTTGTTTTTTGAGGATTGATTATTGAGATGAAAAGAGCATGTGTGTAAAATTTTGGGTCATACAAATACCACAAACACGGTTTTCTAGAAGTGTTGTTGCATTATATGGATGCGGGTTTGTATAGAGCCGAGGCTCTAAACAATCAAAGTAAAACGCACCTTCAAATAGTGTCAAGAAATGTGGTTTCAACACTGAAAATCTTTGGGATAGCCTTAAAATATACTTTCATCTTTAATTATAAAATTTAAAGCTTCAAAAATACTGTAGATAGAGCAAATCTATGGAAGCTTGAAAATCTTGAAAATAGACAGTCCAAAAATGCATTACAAGATGCACTATTTCCAAAACTTGAAATCCATTTTTTTCTCAAGTCCATGCATCATGATGTCATGATCAATTTAAGGATATTTGGCCATCAAAACAACCTCTTATAGTGAAACTTTTGAGATGGGTTTTAATTTTATCGTTTAGAGCCTCGGCTCCATATAAACTTTTTCCTAT